CAGGAGGTGGCATATGATCAAGAACCATGTTGGAGGAAGAAGTTGAAGCTGCACTGAAGGAAGCGGTGAAAAAAAGGCTCCAGGAATTGACGGAATATCCATTGAGATGTTTCAACAAACAGATGCCCCACTGAGGCACTCACTCAGCTATGCCAGGAGATTTGGAAGACAGCTACCTGGTCAACTGACTGGAACAGATTTATATTTGTACCCATTCCAAAGAAAGGTGATCCAACAGAATGTGGAAATTATCAAACAATATCATTAATATCACATGCAAGCACAATCTTACTGAAGATAATTCAAAAATGGTTGCAGCAGTATATTGATAGAGAACTTCCAGAAATGCAAGCTGGATTCAGAAGAGGATGTGGAATGAGGGATATCATTGCTGATGTCAGAAGGATCTTGGATGAAAGCAAAGAATAACAGAAAGATGTTCCCTTGTGTTTTATTGACTATGCAAAAGCATTTGATTGTGTGGATCATAACAAATTATGGGTAACATTGAGAAGAATGGGAATTCTAGAACATTTAATTGTACTCCTGAGGTACCTGTACATAGACCAAGAGGCTGTTGTTCAAATAGAACAAGGGGACACTGCATGGTTTAAAATCAAGAAGGGAGTGTGTCAGGGTTGTATCCTTTCACCACACTTATTCAATCTGTGTGCTGGGCAAATAAAAGAATGGGAATTCCAGAACACTTAATTGTAGTCATGAGGAACCTGTACATAGCCCAGGAGGTTGTCGTTCAAACAGAACAAGGGGACAGTGCACGGTTTAATATCAAGAAGGGAGTGTATCAGGGTTGTATCCTTTAACCACACTTATTCAATCTGTGTGCTGAGCAAATAATCCGAGAAACTGGACTATCTGAAGAACATGGCATCAGGATTGGAGGAAGACTCATTCACAACCTGTGATATGCTGATGACACAACTTTGCTTGCTGAAAGTGAGGATGACTTGAAGTACTTACTGATGAAGACTGAAGACTACAGTCTGCAGTATGGATTACAACTCAATATAAAGAAGACAAAAAATTCTCAAAACTGGACCAATAAGCAGCTCACAATAAATGGAGAAAAGATTGAAGTTGTCAAAGACGTCATATTACTTGATTCTACAATCAATGCCAATGGAAGCAGCAGTCAAGACATCAGATGACTTATAGCACTGGGCAAATCTGCTGCAAAAGACCTCTTTCAAGTGCTGAAGAGCAAAGATGTCTCCTTGAGGACTAAGGTGCACTTGACACAAGCCATGGGATCTTCAATCACCTCATATGCATGTGAGAGCAGGACAATGAATAAGGAAGACCAAAAAAGAGTTGATGCCTTTGAGTTGTGTGTTGGAGAAGAATGCTGAAATTATCAGGGACTGTTAAAAGAACTAAGAAATCCGTCCTGGACCAAGTGGAGCTGGAACGCTCCTTAGAAGCGAGAATGGCTGGTTTCATCTCATCTACTTTGGTCATGTTGCCAGAAGGAACTATTCCCTGGAAAAGGATATCACGCTTTGTATGGTGGAGGGTTGATGAAGAAGGTGAAGGCCTTCAATGAGTTGGACTGACACAGTGGCTACAACGATGGGGTCAAGAATAGCAAGGATTGTGGAGCTGGTGTGGAACTGGGCAGTGTTTCGTTCTCCTATGCACGGGATAGCTATGAGTCGGAGACGACCTTAACAACAGGAAGTGACGGAATGGCCATTGAAAAGTTTCTGCAAAGGGATGCAGCACTGGAGGTACTTATTCATCTATGTCAAATTTGTAAGGCAGTTAGTTAACTTGCAGTTCTATCAGATGCTGCCTCATGTATTTTGATGCTCTGTTTTGTATCTTAACACTGGTGGTGATTACACAAATCTATAGATAAAATGCTTAGTGCCAAATACAAACACATGCTCAAATATGTACATGTTAAACTGGTATATCTGAGTAAGACCAGTGGATTATGCCAATGTCAATTTTTTGTTGTGGCACTGTATTACAGTTGGGCAAAATGTCACCACTGGGTAAAACTGGGTGAAGGGTACCTGTGATCTCTTTGCACTATTTTTCACAATTTCACGGCAATCTACAATATTTCAAAAGTAGTTTAATGAAAAAAATGATATAATGATCAGTAGTCAATATGCATGTCTTGTTCCTGATATTTTTAGTGCTGTGGTCCTAATATTTGACTTCTAAGCATGTTATTGTATATACTACTGGCTAGGTTTTAATATAGAGACATATTACATTTATTTTTATCATATTAATAATTTTTTATTCTATTTTTACCAAGGATTTTTATCAGGTACAAATACTAAAACTTTTCCAATGTTTTTATAAATTTCCTATGAAACACATTTACATTCCTGGTATGCACTCTAATAGATAATAACGTAAAAGTTGTCATTATAGAAAATTTTAAAGATGCAGAAGTTGGAGAACAATACAATGAATCCTTGTACCCATTATCTAAGTTTAGTAACTATCAAATTATAGCCGATTTTGTTTATCTAGACCCTCACATACTCCCCTCTGTATTACTTTGAAGTCTCAGGTATCTTATGTGTTCATGTGATTGTGGAAAGTTCATTAAGTCCACATGCAGTTCAGGCGACAAGCTGGAGATTTCTGCAGCTTTTGCACTAAAATCCATAGGTCAGGTGATGGGAAGAGTGAACAGTGAAGGAACTCAGGCAATGTATCATAGGCTTGGAAACTCCCTTTTTTCATTTACAGCCTTCAACTAATTGGATGAGGCCCATCCACATTATAAAAGTAAAGCAGATTTGCTTTACTTAAGGCAAACTAATTTGATCTCTCTGGTGGCGTAGTGCCTAAAGCATTTCACTACTAACCAGAAGGCTGGCGGTTTAAACCTGCCAGCCATTCCTCGGAAGGAAGATCGGGCAATCTACTTCTGTAGTGATACCACCTTAGAAACCCAAGGAAAGGTTGCTATGAGTTGGATCCGACTCAATGGAAGTGAGTTTTTTTTTAACTACTTCATAATAGCAACTCGACTAGTGTTTTACCAAACAACAGGGCACACCATAGTTAGCACCATTAAAATGAACCATCTCAGTAGTTATGTTTCCTTTTGAATCCACAGAAGTTTGACATATATGCACATCTTAAGTCTTCAGAAAAGATTTGCTGCTGATGTTATTGTGCTGAGGTTATTCAGTCTGCTTCTCTGTCTCTAATGACTAACCTTTTTGAGCAAAATGAAGGTGATTTTAATAAAGCCTGGATACCAATGGGCATTATTTTATGGCAATAACCATGCAAGGCAACTGTAAGCACAAGCGGGGAAGAGGTGAGTAGAATGTTTGTCACTGGCAAAGGTCTCTAGGCTTTTCTTAGTTGTCACAAGTAAGGCTCTTCTGATGAATTTTCTTCAATTTTACTTTCAGTAACCTTTTATACATCAATAAAGGCTAAACAGAGAACTTCCAACCTAATAAATAATAATCTCTCTCTCAGAAAAATAATTTGTTATTTAAACTTTTGTTAAGTATACAAAGAAGTAGCTCTGGTGTAATGCCTAAGGCATTTGACTGCTAACTAAGAGGATGGCGGTTCAAACCCACCAATCACTCCGCAAAAGACACCTCAGAAACCCAAAGTGCGTCACTATGAGTTGGAATCGACTCGATGACAGTGAGTTTGGTTTTTGGTTTTTTAAAGTATACAGACAGGAAAGAAAAGTGCTTTCTTGTGAGGTTATTTATTTTGAAAATACAGTCAAATTTTCATAAATCAAAAACATTAGAATACTTGTTTTAATGCTTAAACATACATACAATTCACTGAAAAATGAATACAAATGACTGAAATAAACAGATACTCAACCTTATTCTTAGCAGAAACACAAAACTGCACTGAGATTAAAACACAATTTTTCAACTAAACGATTAGGAAAGATCAAAAAGTTCGGTAACACTGACAATTCATGGGAGTATAAATTGGCATAACCCCTAGAGAAAGCAATTTGCCAATATCTACCAAAAAATAAAAATGCATCAATCTTTTGATCCAGTAATTCCAATTTTAGAATTTATCTTACAGAAATCCACTCAAGTGCAATATGACCTCTATACCATCATGAAATACAGAATTATTTGTAATAGCAAAAGAATGGAAAGAATTAAAATGTCTGTCAGTAGGGATTGCTCAAATATTTTATGGTATATTCACAGGATAAAATCTTATGCATGGAACCCCCAAAATGATGGCCCTTAGACACCCTTCAAACATGGAAATGAACTCACTCCTACAGATTACCTTTCAGCCAAACAAAAGACAGGCCTATAACTATGCCAACAACCAGAAGGTTGGCAGTTCAAACCCACCAGCCACTCCACAGAAGGAAGACTGGACAATCTATTTCTGTAAAGATTTACTGCCTCAGAAACCCAAATAGGGTCACTGTGAGTTGGAATCGATTTGATGGCAGGGAGTGAATATACTCCTCAGATCAACCATATGAGACCAAAAGGGCAGCATTTGCCCCCCCCCCCCCCCAATCAGAAGGCAGGAAGGGTCAGGAAAGATGGCAGTGAGGAACCAGAGAGGAAGTGGGAAGTGTGCTATTACACTGAGGGGATTGCAACTGTCACAAAACAAAATGTGTATAAAATGTTGAATGGGAAACTAATTTGCTCTGTACCTTCACCCAAACCATAATGAAATTAAAAAAAAAAAAAAAAAAAATCTTATGCAGTTGTAAACAAGAATCAAGAAATTTTATGTACTGGGATGATCTCAAAACATCATGTTAAGGAGAAAGAACAAGCCAAAAAACAGTGTACTGTAGAGTAGCATATACATAAAGTATTTCTGGAAGAAAATTCAAGAGACTGGTAACACCTCAGGGAAGGAGAACTGGGTGCTACAAGCAGGATGATGACTTTCTACTGTCTATAAGTTTATGTCTGGAATTTTGAATGATGTGATATGTTACATGTTTTGTTGAACATATTTTTTTCTTAAGAGAAAATTTTGAAATAAAAATTATAATGGTCCAACAGAAGTGTAAGATTCTTTCAGGTAAAATGAAATTAGCAAGCGTCATATTTCCTTCATCTGGTTGATAAACTTTTCCACAAGTCCATTGAGTCTTTCGGGCTCCATTAGTTTGTTTACCAGTTCCTGCTCAACTGCCATTAAGGCCATGTCACTATTCCTCTCTTGTCCCATGGTATGACATAAATATGTTTTAAGGCGAGGCAGTACAGAAAATGAACTTCTAGCGCTTGCTGAAGTAATTGGCCAAGACAGAGCAATATGTAACAGCTGTGAGATCCCAGGAATATTACTGTGAAGACCATGCTGAATAAACAAATAGCCAAGATTTATGAAGTTGATACAATCATAATCCATGACAAAGTTGAGCTTTGCATAGTGCCGATAAAACCGAAGTTCTGGGATAATATCTGTATCAAGTTTATAAAATTCTTGAACATGTCTGGCTGTTGCTTCATTTAATGGTTCATTCCATTTAAATAATAGTTCTGAAATTTGCTTTATTTTGCAATAATCAAACTCTGAAAAACATAATTTTAAATTTTGCAATATAGTATCCAATCCTTGGTAATAAATACTAATTTTATACTGTTCTTCAGCTGAAGTAGGAAAAAATATATTATCTGAATCACTATGATCTACTATTTTCTGAATTTTTCTTCTTTTCTGAAGAGAAGGATTTTCAACTTCAAAACCTTTGCAGGTTATTTTTTGACACACTTCCTCTGTTCCATCCCAGATAGCTTTGAAATAGGTATCATTTCTCTCAGATGATAAACACTCAAAAATTGTTTCTATTTTTGAAGATAAAGAAAAAATATCCATCGTTTCACTCTGAAGTTCTTTGGAAAGAATTCCTGTAACACTCAGCACTCGATAAAGAAATTTTAAACAAAATATAAATTCAAATTTGGAAACCGACGTCAACAAATTACTCAATACATCAGCCAAATTTGTGTTTGAAGAATGGCTAGAAATAACTTCCAGTGTTTCAATTATCTCTGGAAGACCCTCAGTCACAGACAGTAATGTGCAATCGTGAGCTGTCCAACATGACTGTGATGAATGTTTCTTGCATGTTTTGTTTGGGCTTAGTTTACAAATGTTTTGAAAATTTGCCAACATTTCCGCAGACATCTGAATAGTGTTGAACAAAGTACTGAGAGTATTTAGAGTACTTCGGAGTTCTTTTACTTCTTTACAAAATCTAATGACTGCTAAATCCAGAAAATGTGCGTAACAATGTATGTATAAAGCTCTTGGGTCTTCCTTCTTGAATTCTGCTGCAATTTTATTAAATTTTCCTCTCAAATTAATGGTACTATCATAGGCCTGGCCACGTATGTTTTTCAAATCAACTCCAATTTGCTGCAGATAAGTTTTGATAATCTTATGTAAATTAGTCCCAGTTATCTCTTCAGTATCAATAAAACCCAAGAATCTTTCCTTAATTAAGATAGTCTTTGACGTTTTTTGTGGGTATCTCACACAAATTGAAAGCTGGTCTTTAGTGGCACTATCAGTTGTTTCATCACATATTATTGAAAAAGCTGAGGAGATATTAACCTCATTCACAATATCCTGCAACATTTCAGTTTTTATTATTTCAATAATCTCGGTTTGAATTTGTGAACTATTATAGAAGTCAATTTGTGAGTTCATAAGTCGAAATATTCCTTCTCCTTTATCTTTTGCTCTGATTTCTAACAGTTCTAAAAAATTGCCTTTATTTATAGATGAAACAGACTGGTCACTTTCTCTTAAGGGTAAACACTGCTTTCCAAGAAACAGAATATTTTCAATGATAAACTTTAGGTAGTTTTTATTTTCCTCACTTTTTTTTGAATGAAGAGACAAATTATCATTGACAGCTTCAGTACAAAACTGGTACTCCCTCCAAAACTGCAATGACTTTAAATGCAGCTCACTTTTTTCATGCTTTCTAAATCTTTCCAGAGTCTTTTTCCAATTAGAAATTCCTTGGGTTGTAAACGACTCTCCCCTACAGCTAAAAATTTTTTGGCAGAACAATTGGCATGAATAACAGAATGTCACATCCTTTCTAGTACTATTTTCCAAACACTGATTTGAATACCAAGATTTTTTAACACTTCGTGATTTTCCTTTAACTTTTTGTACTTTGGATGTAAATTTTGGGTGACACAGTCCATCATTTATTTTCATGGATTTTATATTGCATGCAGGATCCTGGCTGGGCACTTTCTCTTTCTGTACTTCCATATTGGAGCCACTGGTAGGCTGACTGAGTACTGATGAAGATGGTGAAAGGCTTGGCTGTTCCACATTATCACTAGAAACACCACTACTAGCTTCACTCGGAGAACTCTTAGAAATCTTTGGAAGAAAAGGACAAAATAAACCTTTAGCGGTCTTCAAATAACCAGTTAAAATATTGAACAGATCTATTCTACTAACACAGTAAAATGAATGGGTGAGTTATAGTACGAGCTCCACTAGGGGGAAACATTAACAATTATTTATAACTATTTGCAGTCTAGACTCAGCAATAAATGTTCAAAGGACCTTATTAACTTAATTGTAGTAAAAATAATTTTCATTGCTCAGATGACTAGAGTTGCTTAACACATATTTAAAAAACAAAAAACAAGAACCCTGAGGAAATATTTTGACGTCACCTTGAGATCTGGGAAACTGAATGTAATGAGCAACAGTACTTTCAGTGTTTATTTTTCCAGATATAAGATCAAAATAGGAATGAATATGCTCAAACATACGTAGTATATAATTTGCTTTAAAAAGAAAATAAATGCTTAAGAGAGTAGCAAAAGAAACAGAAATAAAACTTACATCTGCAATGACATTTGGTGTTACTGGAGGAACTGTGCCTGTTAAGTTAATTAGAACATAAATTCAAGATCTTATACTATAATCTATAAAATAGCATCATAAACTCTAACTACTTATTATACACCAGAAAATAAAACTTACAATACAGACAGATTTTTCAAGTATGGCAAGAGTGTATATATAAAATATCTTCGACTCAATTCATACCTTCTAAGACATCAGAGTTTACAATGGACAGGTCACCATGAGGATCTGCCAATGACACTATATTGCTTATAACTGGAGTTGTATCTTTCTTTAGGGAAAGGAGCTCAGTTGAAGCCTGTTGCACCATGGGAACATTTACTGATAAAAATAAACAAAAAAGACTTATAAACAAGGCAGAATCAATCAGAAAAACTGCTTAATAACAAGTATTTCAAGGAACAGTGCAAATATCTAATAGCTTTAGGTACTGCTAGGCTAAGTAATTACTTTTAATTGGAATAACCTCTATTAGGATTTAGGGATAGCCAAGTTCCTCAAGGTAATACTAATAACAGTATTAAACTAATAGTTTATACTTCCTCATCATTTTACAGCATTTTGCACACATTTTCTCAGTCCTTTTTACTGTTTGCTTAAATTACAAGAAAATTTTTGCTGTGAAATTAGCCATGAAAAACATAAAGAGATTCCTATACAATCTCCTAATGGGTGTCATTTCTAATTCTTCTAGGCTTCATAAACCTCAAATCAGTAGAGTTAGGTTAGTTGAAGTAAAAATAGTACTGAAGTACTGAAATAATATTGAAGAAATCTGTGTAATAAGCTAGTGTACAAACTGTAGGGAGACTGTAAAGTCTATGCAAATGGCACCCATGGTACTACAGGAGGCTTTTAATGGAATGCTTAGTTGGTGCTGGATTATTTGCGCTTTTCTATTAGTGAATTTCCAACTAGATCTACTCCACATGAATAATATTACTGACAGCCTTGTTTTCACAACAGGTAAATTTGATATAACATTCTATATTCTACCAGAACAATTCTTTATCATAATTCTATTGAATTAACTCAATACATATTGATTGAAAGCATCTTATGTACCAAATTGTGTGGTAGGTACTTAATACATAATACTAATATAAACATTAATACACTCATTTACTGAAGTATCCAAATAACCTAAAAATCAAACCAAACCCACTGCTGTCAATTCTGCGTAATGGTGACCCCGTGTGTTTCAGAGCAGAATTGCTTCACAGGGTTTTCTGGGCTGTAATCTTTATGGAGGCAGACTACCAGGCTTTTCTTCCACGGTGCTGCTGGTGGGTCCAAACTACCAACGTTTTGGTTAGTAGACAAGTGCAAACTGCACCACCCTAAAGACGGGTATCCCTATTTTTTTTTCCCTTTACATCTTGTCTTAAAAGTGAAGAGAGTTTTATCAACCCAAAACAACAGTCTTTACAAATAAATATTAAATTCTGTGGTAGTGAGAAAGCCTTCTTTTTACATAAAAATATTGGAAAATAGTTCTTGGCAACATGTTTTGAATTGTTTTACTTTTAAGTCAGTTTTATTTGGAAATTAATCAAGATTATAAATTAAAGCAAAGCTATACTATACTTTTTTAATATTTACTAAGGAACTCTGGTAGCATAGTACCTAAGGCATTATTTGACTGCTAACCAGAAGGATGGTGGTTCAAACCAACCAGCCACTCCTCAGACGGAAAGTTGGGCAATCTACTTCTGTAGTGATACTGCCTTGGAAACCAAGGAGGGGTCGCTATGAGTTGGATCCGACTCAAGGGCATTGAGTTTGGTTTGTTTTTTTTAACATTTACTAACCTTCAAATACTAAACCTATGACAAATGCTAAACAAATATTACCTGTCGAAGATTCCATCTTAGCTTTATTGTAAGCAGAAAAACAATTAATAGAGCAGAAAAGCTCTGTCTTCCCCGAGTCATTGGTAGTCTCAATAATTTCATCTGAGGGCTTCAATGATTTCAAAAGAACAGATGGAAGTATTTTGGCCGGTTTCTGTTTAGAGATTAAACAATATTCACTTTTCTGGTATATGACAGATACGGTTAACAAACAAAAACATCCCCTCTACCAAACTCTTAGTTAAAATATTACAAATAATGTCAATGTATCCAAATTTTTAACTTTTTTAAAAACCAGAAAGAAGGTACTGTAATTGCAATGACTGTAAAATGAAGGAATTTAATAAACTGATTAGAAAACTAAACTGTATTATTTATCAGATATATTACAATAATGATATATGCAAACAATGAAGAAACTGATCACAGAAAAGGTTCTTCATCCCAGGCAATCAAAGTCAACTGGATAAATAAACAGAACCAGTTGCTGTTGAGTTGATTCCAACTAATGGTGACCCATGTGTGTCAGAGTAGAGCTGTGCTCTAGGTTTTCAATGGTTGAGTTTTCAGAAGTATATTGCCAGACCTTTCTTCTGAGGCACCTGAGAGGTCACAAACCTGCAATGTTTTGGTTAGTAGCTGAGCACATTAACCATTTGCACCACCGAGCGTCTCCAAGATAAATATACAAAAAAAAAAAAAAAAAAAAGGAACTAAACCCATTGCCATCAAATCAATTCTTAACTCACAGCAAGCCCAATAGAGTTTCCAAGGCTGTAAATCTTTACGGAAGCAGACTGCCTCACCTTTCTTCCATGAAGCAGTTGATGGGTTCAAACCGCTACCTTTTGGTTAGCAGCCAAATACCATAACCACTACGCCACCAGAACTCCTTAAATAAACAAAACTACTATAATAAGTCTTTCCTCAATGCCAGTGTGGGCATCAACTCAGGAAAACTTTCTCTTGGTGCTAAGGAGCCAGAAAGGGAGCTTAAATACACATGATGAGATATTGTGAGCATCACTGTTGGGAGCTCTGGTGGCATAATGCCTAAGGCATTTGACTGCTAACCAGAAGATGGGCAGTTCAAACCCACCAGTCACTCCTTGGAAGGAAGACTGGGCAATCTAATTCTGTAGAGATACTGCCTTGGAAATCCAAGGAGGGGTCGCTATGAGTTGAATCGACTCGACGGCAGCGAGGTAACCTCAACTGAAACCATATTGTAAGAAACCAGCATACAAGCAGTAAGAAAAGCAGTCAGTGTACAAATGAAAATGATATAAGCTGAGAGGCTTCCCACCTATTATTTCTATTAAACAGTATCCATCGTTCCTGGACTAAATAAATAATATTCATGGCAATGATGGAACAGAACTGCTTTTGGGAGCACAAAATGCAAAGCTAATTGAAAATATCGTTTGTGAAAGAACGGGATATTGGCAAAAGAATAATGATATAAACAATAAAAGGATAGTTTTTATCCTTTATTAATTATTGTAAGTAATTTTCCTATTTTGAGAAACCCCCAACAATTTACCAATATTAAGTAACTATTAAATTACAAGAGTAGTATAACTTATAACTAAATTTATTATTCAAAGGAAAAATATACTTAATATACTCTATTAGGAGGATGTGACCAAAATATTTACAACACTTTAAAATAAAATGCTATCCTATTTTTAGATTCATAGATTTGAAACTTTTCTAATTCTTTGTTAAAGTTCACTAACAATATGAAGTTTTCTCCATTATCACTACCACACAATACCTTATATGCAGGGTGAAGTATGAGGTGGTATTGGTAATCTGGTATACTCAAATTAGCTCTATCTCATTACATGTGCTAAATAACTGAGCATTCAATACAGGCTCTTAAAAAACAGGACAAATTACCAGGGATAGGAGGGAGGGGGAAAGGCAAAGCTTTTGTTTGCAGGGCACTGAGTTATGTTAATAGTGGTGTAATATTTTGGAAAAAGATAGCAATAATAGTGGCACAACATGAAAAATGCCATCAATGTCTCTGAGCTATAAATGTGGAAGTTGTTATGTGGGCCAATGTCTTGGTGTGTATGTTTTCATCACAATAAAAGTGAAACAAAACAGGACAAGACCTAACTATTGAGCATGAGGGATAAAGAAGGAAATGAACGTGCAACATTTTTCTTCCCTTTCATTCTACCGTTTTTTGGTCCCAATGTGGGATACTTTCCTGGTGGCACATTCTCCGATAGAAAAGATGTGGCTCATAGATGAACTATCTTGAATCTGGCTCACTGGAGCTCCCATCTTCTTTACGGAAGAATTTGGAAGAACAGAATTGGATCTCAAAGCACCATCTGAACAAATAAGATATATGACAACCCCACCATGAAAGGGTCAAACCACTGAAAGTGTTCATCTCACTTAGTTCACCAAAGCTGCTCTGCTCTCAGATGTGTCTACCCAAGCCTTTATCAAAAGCAAGAGCTTACTTCCTTCTGTAATTTAGAAAAATCTTGCTTAGGAGAAGAGGGAAATATATGGAAATTAAAACAATTTTATGGCTAGGTCTCATAGTAATAAATTAGTGTTATTTTTCATTCTGTTTATTTGGAGTTTATAAATAGGATTCCAATTACGTGTCTTTCCTTCAAAGTAAGATGAAAACCCTCAGATTCTTTAGGAAAATTTCTATCTACTGTTTATCATTAATTCTTCTGCAAGAAAAGGATCAAAAGTTTTCTATTTCATCCTCTACATCATTTTTCCAACCCATAATTATTCCCAGTGGTGGCCAAATCTACATTCTTGCATTTTCCTATAGAAGAACCACTCACAGGAACAAAACTTGTACTTTTCATTTCAATCCTATACAGTCAATTCAAAAGGCGCAGTTCTCACCTTAAGAAACAGATCTTTATTCCTACCTGCTTGTACGCTGTAACATTCTTTGAACTATTAAAGTACTGAGACTGTCCTTCCATCTTAAGTATGTGGAATGAACTAGAGCTAGTGTAACAGTAAACCCCACAGTTCTCACAACAGCTCATGACAAGGTTGTTAGCAGCGTGAAACTTTGAAAAACAGGCATTACTGCAAAGACTGTGTTTCACGTTCTGGTACCTTACTTCATACTGAATCTAGGAATTAAAAAAACAACAGCACAAAAACAGAGTCAGTCAAAAATTCTGATATTTAAGCAGAATCACAGAAGTTTCTAAAGGTTAAAAAAAATGATAACTTACAACAGTAGTCTTCTGACACATGCTGCATTTGGTTAAAATGCTATTACTACATATGGTAACAAAAGGTTTTCTTTTTTCTTCATATGATGAAAGACAAGATTGGCTGCAAAAGTTTTTGCTAGAGGTAGTATCTTCCAGTGGAACACTGATCACATCCTTCGGGTTTAAAATGTCTCTAGAAATAAATAAGAAAGGCATCAGTAAACATATCCATCATAATTCCTTTCTCTTTCTAAACTAAAACTCCTTTCCTTAATTCTCCCTAACTGTTCTATTTACCTGACAAAATGTAACATAGTAGTAACAACACCAGCCTTTACTTTAAGGAAAAAGTAGCAAACTATCATTCAGAAGTGGGTATGTGGCAGAAATCTTCTCAAAAAGGAACAGAGTGAGACTCTTACTTCAAGTAAAACAGACAGCATTTACTACCAATGATAAAATTTGAGCTTTCAAGTGAAAAAATCTAACTTTTGAAAGACTTTTCTCTGCCACATTGAGTTTGATGGCTTCCCAATCTTTAAATCTCTTTTGAAGAGATTTGTAGTGTTACTAACAAATGTGATTTAAAAAAAAAATACTGCATAGTGAAATACGAAGATCTACATTAACTTAGTGAACTAGTATTTTTCAAAGGATCATAGCATGATGGGATAAAATTCATACAAGTGAGACCAATGAATTTTAATGTAATAGAGTACTAAAAGTTTATTGATATGGTTTCAGATTTCACATTGCAATTAACAAACCTTCAAGAAACTACCACTTGCCGTTTGGTCCTACAAAGAACATGCACAATTATCTGAAAAGGCTAGGAAAAAACTCATTTCCTTTTTACAACTATAGATTTATGAGGCCAGATTTCTTTCACAGATTTCAACCAAAACAACACATCACAACAAACAGAACAAGCAGATACGACAATCCAGCCAGACACTCAAGAGGTCTGCAAAACAAATAAAACAATGCTACTCTTCTCACTAAATCTCTGAATTGGAAAATACATTTTTTTTTCCATAAAAAACTGGTACTTATATTAATAAGTAACTAGATTTTCACATTTTAAATGAGTTAATGAAATTTTTAACATGTCTGTTTTAATTTTAACACAGTAAATATAAATAAATGTAACCTATACAAACTAAAAGTCTTTGGGGGCTGTTAATAATTTTTAAGGGTGTAAAAGGGTACTGAGACCAGAAAGTTTAAGAACTGCAGCTATAGGAAATACCAAGATACCTAGCAGAATCTTCAGAATATCAATCTGTCAGGGTAATAGTTTTCTAAATGAAATACTCCTGCAATTAACACTACTTTAACATTTTCAAATTTTTCGGATATTATGAACTTTCAGCTTTCTTCAACAAATGGTATGGCAAATAACAAGTTAATTTCATTATCACAACATCAGTTATTTTACTAGTTTGAATATAGCTTGATCAGTAAGGAACAGGAGAAGGATATGGAATGTGTGGGTAATCGCCTCCATGAACAACTGTCTCCTTTGACATGAGACCAGAAGACTGGATGGTGCCCAGCTACCATCACTGAATGTTTTGATCAAAGATTCTATGGACGAATCACAAACAAAACGGGGAAATGCAGAACAGAATTTGAAATTCTCTTGGACTCCAGACTTTCTGGAGCCATGGAGGGTGCACGAACCCCTGCAACTATTGTTGCAGATTGAAATAATCTTTAACCTTAAGCCAAAAATATCCCCTGACATCTTCTTAATACCAATCAACAATTTAGCTTAACTAGTAAATAATACCTGCCTTGAGCATTGTGCTCTTTCAAAATCTTTGTATAAGGGATCAAGGTTACATAGGAACTTAGGGGGCAGTGAATTTATGTACTTGGAGAAACTGTTGGTGCATGTTTTGCTCCATATATTCTCAACAACAATATAATTTTTAAAAAACTACATAGTTCTATCCACAGTGCTTGAGTTGTGCTGTCCCTGTATTTTATCTGACAAAAATTGTTCTAGAATTCACTCTGTCAGGCAGGGCTAGGCCTTAAGGACATAAAGATGAGGATAAGCCAGTTCCTAATGTCAACAGGCTCATAATCTAAAAGGGCAATATAAATATTTTAAAAACATTACTAAATTATGATCAATGCCTTGGGAGTTATGAATATAATACTATAAAAATATAGACACAGAACAAATATTTTTGGTGGTAAAGGATGAGGGGAAAATAGTATGGGAGTAGAAAAGAGGAAAAAATACTTGAGGCACTTTTAAGACAGAAAGAAATTAGCCAGATAGGAAGGGAGGCAGAAGAAATACTGCTATAAGCATGCTAGATTGTTAGCTTCTAATCTACTATGGCCTTATAAAATTTTTTTTTACAAAAACTTATAAAAGTACCTAAAATTAGCTTCAACAACACAGGTCTGAACAACTGTCCTATAAATAAACCAAATGCTAGAGTTTTAGCATAAGGGCTTATTTTAGTGTCAACTAGATCTCTGTTGATACTAAAAGTCAGAAATGGTACTTCTTGAATACATCTCTCAGAAAAACAACATCTTTTTAACAAGATTTAAAATGTCATCTTCAAGGCAATCTTTCTTTCATTTAGCTTAGGAAATAGAATGAAAAGTGCATTAACCCCAAACAAATTTTAAATCATTTCTAAGTGATGCAATGGCTGCAACAATGGGCTCAAACATAGCAACAAATGATTGTGAGGATGGTTCAGGGCAGTGCTGCGTTCTGTTGTACACAGGGTTGCTGTGAGTCGGGGCTGACTCCATGGCACCAAACAACAACACAAAAGAAACCTCAACAATAATGGAAAATTAACTAAAATCTTGAGAACTATTAATTAATACATGAGGCTAATGAATGTGGAATAAAAAAAAGTTTTAGAAAAAGCACAAGTGGACTCTCATAGCCTAAGTATTACTAGGATCTTTCTAGCAACTTACAGTATTTTTTATCAAAAATAAATTTAATTTTATTCCAGAATTAAAACTTTACTTATATTTCTGCTCATGTTGGATTTCTTTGCTTTAGAGAACAGTTTGCACACTAAATCTTTCGTGCTTCAGTCTTTTTCAATTTGTTTTGGAGACTTGCTGAAGATACAGACAGGGAAAACTAAGCATAGCAACATAGTACCTTAACTTCTCAGGGCCTCAATTTCCTCAAAACAAAAAGAAAAGGTTTGGACTACATAAGCTCTAAGGTCCCTTCCAATGTTACGATTCTACAGAGAGAAAAAAGCAGGTTGAAGCAATGAGGGTGCCATACAGCCCATAGCAAAAGAAAGGAAAGACACAGTATCGAAGGACTGAAAAAGCAAAAGAGAAAGGTAAGTAGAGTTCAGGGGGGGTAAGATTTGAATCAGAAGATCAGACACCAGAAGAGAAGCTGAAGCAACCAATAAAAAGAGTCTGTGAGTTTGTTGAGAGTAATAGTTACAGTGAACAGTTACTGAATTCTTAGTCTTTGTCAATATCATTCTAATCAATTAAATATATTATTTAATTCTCATAATTCTTGTGTACATTTAACAATACAGATGGGACTATAAAGAAACAAACAAGATCTCAGTGCTGAACAGAAGGGCAGTGTTTGCAAAGGGAGACAGCTCAGGGGCAGGAATGCATAGGAGAGGAGGACATAGGGAAAAGGTAACTACAGGGAAGAAGTGGGAAGAGAGCTGTTACACTGTGGGGAATTGCAGTCAATGGGATGAAACAAAATGTGCATGAACTGCTGTATGGAAAATGACTTTGCCCTGTAAATTTTCACCCAAATCACAATGAGATTTTTTTTTTAGAAAGTTCTCAATGCTTCTCAACCTTTAGCATGTATACAAACCACCTCAGGATCTTGTTAAAATGCAGATTCTGACTCGGTGGGTCTGGGTGAGACCTGAGATTCTACATTTCTAACAAGTTCCCAGGTGATGCTGATACAAAAGTTCAGGGATCTCACTGTGGGTAGCAATACGTAACTGCAAATGGAAGAACCAAGATTCAAATGATGGTAAACATATTCCAAAACAAGACATTATTTGAAAGGAATTCATTATATTTAGAAGCAAAATTTAAATTTAGCATTACTATTAGCATTCAGTGAGTACTAACAACCCAGAATTTTATTACTATAAAACACACTGCCATCGAGTCGATTCTGACTTAGGGCGACCCTGTAGGACAGAGTAGAACTGCCCCATAGGGTTTCCAAGGCTGTAAATCTTTACAGAAGCAGAACATGTATCTTTCTCCTGCAGAGTGGCTGGTGGGTTTGAGCTGCCAACCTTCTGGTTAGCAGCACTGTACCACCAAAGCTCTAGCACTTTCCAAAGTTACACATCTCAGGGTAGATGGTAGAAATTCTTCACTAATTCATTATGAACTTGAGTGAGGTCACTATTTCCTTTCTCTGCATCTACACTGTTTTACATATGTAAAAAAGTTAGTGAAAAAGACCCCTTACAGAAATCTTTAAAAGATTATATACACATACACATGTTTATCTATGACTACTCAGATTTCCAAAAGAATTAAATAACTTCATTTACCATTACAAGAGAAACATATTATTTAATACTTTGGAAATTCCAAAATAAATGTTAGATGATTAGTTTTTGAGTAGTTGCTGCCTATAACTTAAATGAAAAAATAGAATGGACATACTTTCATCCCATTTCTGAAGAATTTCAACTGAAAAGAATGGAAAATGTTTTGGAAGTCACATTTTTTTAGAGTTGAAGAGAAACAGAACTCTTCATACTTTAATTTCTGAAAACTTTCAACTAAAAGTTTTTCTGAAGACTCTATTAGAAGAACTGAAAGCAAAACCAGCTTCTTTTCATTAAACTAAGGTGATACTTTTTCAGAAAAAAATGAAAATGTTATAAACTACATCCAAGATGCTGATCAAGATCTAAGTAGGGAAGTAAAAGGGGCATAATTTAGAATTATATACTTGGAGCAGTTTGAGCAAGTTCTCTTGGGAGGAGCTGATAAACTGGTAGATGAAATGTATTCAGTGATGCACAGTGTGGAGCAGAAAAGCTGAGTAGAGCCTTTCCTCTGATAAGCAGTTTGTCCCTTCTGGAGAATTTTTTTACAACCAGTACAGGAAACCTGAATAGCTGTGGTTGAAACTGAAGGAAGCATTTTGTTCATGCCAGATGACGTCAGAGAAAGCGGAATGCCTGTAGTCAACTGCGAAGCTATAAAAACAAAACATGAAGGGAAAAAATTAGTTTTTACATAAAATTAAGCACACACTTTTACTTTCTTTTAGAGGTAGTTCTCCTGAACTTGAAATCCAACACAAACAATGTAATGAGGCATTCCAGAAAAAGTAGACTATTTCAACCAGAATAAATATGATTGATTCAAACAGTTTTGTTACCACTGTCTGAAAACGTAGTGCCCGTTGTCAGTTCTCTCTCCTGAAGTTTGGGCTGCTGGGCTTGCAAATATTCCTAAAAAAGAGAGTTGAAAATAATGAATACAATGTACTTAAGAAAACCAGTCATTCAATAGAAAGTGATGAATTAGGTCAAGTCTATTTAGTGAATTGAATTGAACCGTGGTAGGTAGACAGGTAATCCTCTTTTTGGTGCCCTTGACTGGCAACACCAATTACTACATTAGTTTCTATTGTACCCATATGTAACCTCAGAATCTTTTTCAACACAGCCCCTCAATAACCACTACCAAAAGAGAGAAGAACAGTGACACCTATTTTCCTTTCCTGTTATAATCATTAGTAGTAACTGTCTTCTTAAAGCCTTTAACACATAAATTTTTAGACTGGGCTGCAGGATCCTTGAAAAAATGATTTTTCAGAGCAGCAGACACTATGAAGGCTGCCATATCTTGAACTACAATAGGCTGAGAAAGCAATAGGTATTTCCTAGATAGATAACTGTGAAGAATTGCTTGCTGTGGCCCTTCTAGCCACTGTCCTCCATTTTGTGATGTATTATGAATCCTATTATCCATACCTGTTTAGGGCGGTGTGGTAGTTAAGGTCGTGTGTCAACTTGGCTGGGCAGCGAGTAGTAGTTATTCCCTATAATGACTGGCAATCAGCTCAGTGGTGGAATTAGCTGTGAGTAACTGAGTAGCTGCTTTTAATGTTAAAGTCATTCACTTGGGGTACTACTGTTGGACCACAGGTGGAATATATCTTGAGTCCCACCTTGCTGGAGGGTGTAACTCAAATCACCACCCTTAGCTTCCTTGAAGGTATGAATATATATGAATCTTCTGGGAAGGTTTACCCTCTTCTTGCTCTGGTTCTGCATTTCACCCCTGGATTTGGGACAGCGGCCATCATCTGATCTGTTTATTGAGGTTCGTTAAACCCTGAGAATTGGGAGGATCCTCCAGACCTACTTACAGACCTGGTACTTACCAGCCTGCCAGCCTCCTAGCCTCTACCACCACTACGTGAGACGATCCCCTGGTGTCTGAGAATTCTGAGGCATTACAGCAAAATACAAAACCCTATGACGTGGGGGAGATTACTGAGAGGAGGAGGAGTTAATGTCTAAAATGATGGAGTGGCATGATAGTTTGGACATTTGGGAGATCTTTAACCTCTGTCTCATGGGGACCAGCCTTGTGTTGGTCTTTCTAAGAGAAATTTTTCAAGCAATAACATTCCCAGCCATATACACTTAGAAGTAGACTGATAACTTGCCAATGGATGGGGGCCATACCCTACTTAATAGTGATCTACTTTAGACTATTTCTAAAGCAGAATACCAGAAATAAATTAAAACTGAAGTGTCTGATTTACTTTTTGTTTCATTAAAAATTTCAGCTGGTTCATATATAAATATTCCAAAGAATTCTATCCCTACTACAAATATTCATAGCTTGAGTCAGTTTATCTTTTATTGGTCCTTTAGCATGTGGCATGTATAAAAGAGTTTAACAATATTTAAGTATAAAAGTAATTTAAATAAAAATATTATGAAGAAAAGCATTTTAAGAATTTAAAGTGTATTCCTCAATAATAAATAATGCTGGACTTCCACATGCAAAAGAATGAATCAGAATCCATGCCTCACAAATACACAAAAACTAATTCAAAATGGATCAAGGCCCTAATTGTGAAAACTGAAACCATAAATTCTTAAAAGAAAATATAGGGGCATGGCTGCAGGGCTGCATTTTAACAACAGATTACTAAATATGATAATAAAAGCATGAGCAAAGGCAAAACAGATAAATTGGACCTTCTAAAAATTTAAAACTTTTAGTTTACCATGGAGTTTATCAACCAAGTGAAATAAACCTACAGACTG